ATGGTTTGACATTTTGTTTCCCAATGCAATGAATTTAATACGTTTTTTAGTATGGCACACATATTAAATACTTTTTAGGGACCACTGTAAGCTTGACGGACAGCTTTAGGAAATCAAATCAAACATCTCTAAGCTGAGTAGGCCCATTTAGATAAGAAAACAAAGACACAATTTTGGTGTCAGAAAAAAATTTGAACTCAGGCCTACCAGAGAACAGAGAACAATGATGACAAGGAGAAGGCAAGGTCAGTGCTGAGCTCTCAGCAGGTAGTGCTGGACCCTGGCCTTCAGCCAGCTCTCAGCCTGAGAAGTTCAAGGGATAATTTTCCTGAGCGAATCAGCAGACATGTGTCATATTTCTCAGCTCAATGCAGCGTGCTGTCCTGGTGTTACCAAAACTGCCCCCCCACGCTGGAGTCTGAGCCATTTGAGCCGCAGTGATCCTGTGCATACAGAGAGAAATGTTCTCCCACATTCAGGTCATGAAAGAGAATAGGGCTCATGCTTGCAAAAGAAACAGTGCATGTTTTGTTTGGCTCAGTGATTTTCAGAAAAGCAATGGGGAAGATTTTCTCCCAAAGAAAATCTATGTTACATTTGATAGAGCTCTACATTGTTTGATAAAACTATTAAAAATGACTTCATTGGCCAAAAGATTTAACCCTAAACTGTAGGATTATTATACACTTATTTACTCAACTATGAATCTGAAGACTTGTTATTCTACTAACTACTATGAAACTAATATGTAACTACAGAGGGGGCTCTGTAGTTATGGGCTCTGCTCTTAAATATTTACATATGCTCATTTACATTTGTCGTCATTCTTAAAGGCACAGTAACAATAGTTTTGAGTTTTGGAAAATGATCACGTAAGACTGTTTTAGGAAAATAAAATCACATACATGTCATAATGTCAAAAATACACACACACACACACACACATTATATATATGTGTGTATATATATATATATATATATATAAATATATATATATATATGTATATATATGAAAGATATCAGATATGCCCTTTAAATAAAAACAAGGCCTTCCTTAAAGCAGCTGCTAAAACAGCCCATTTTGGATTCACTGCTTAATCAACATATATTTAGGAATGGAAATGGCCAGATTTTACTGGGGGAACTCCAAGATTTTTTTGTTCCTCACTCACCTTATTTCTTAAAGCCGAAAGAAAAAACACTCAAATTCTGCATAAGTTAATTGCCTTCTACTAAGGTTGCACTGGCTAACGTGCTAATTTATCACAGACCTCTGAAACTGAGCTCACTGATGATTTTCAACAAAAACAAGTGAATCAGCAAAAATACCACTTACATTAAGTAGACTAGATATTCAAATGAATGCCACTAAGTTTTGAGGAGATAAGAATGCAAACCACTTTTCTTACGGAATGTAGAGTTTCTTGGTTACTTTTACAGTCCAAACACACTGCATGCATTATTATGCACACTGGGTAGGCGGAGCCTGCTGCAGCACTGTAACTTTCCATTGGCTGAAGGAGCACGAACTTGCTGTGTGTTTTGGAACTCTGAGCTGAAACACTGTTCCGCTCCAACTGGCACTCCCGGATCGGGGCTTTCCGCGCATTCCGGTCCATTTTCACCCCTGCATATATCTATCTGCACTTTAGCCCCACCCATCCACACTGAAGTTATAAGGAGTGATTCAGACTTGAATGAGGCACAATATAGGAACTATCAGATGATGGCTTATTTACACATATCAACAGTCTTAAAGGCACAGTAACAAAAACAGCCTGTTTAATTCTAAGAGATAAAGAGAGTTTGGAAAATGCTCATGTTTTGGGAACATAAAATCACATGAACATCGTAAGTGGGTCTCAGGAAAAAAATTTCATGTAATAAAAATTTCAGTGCCCTTTAAATAATAATACTAAGTGCTTTGAATGTCTACAAAAACTACTCTAGCAATGTAATTATAAATTAATTCATTCAGTGGTGCAATAGCATGATATTTATATTATGCATGATACATTAACCAGAATAAAGGCATTATGCACATAAGGTTAAAGTGAGTCTTTGGCCCTGAAAAAATGCCTCTGCATATCCTAGAAAACTCTGAAATTCAAAATTATATATCCACAGTCAATGAACACTGAATATAATATTGTTGAGGTGCAGCAGGAATCTGCTGTTGGGACTGTTGTATAACCAACTGACAAGCGAGTGGGATGAGTAGTAGAGCTACTTCATCCACCCACACACACACACACACACACTTCTGTGGGACTCGTTGCATAAATTTACACACTGTGATCAGAATCAGCTGCAGTGTGCCATTTGTTTTACTGCATTATCTATCTATCTATCTATCTATCTATCTATCTATCTATCTATCTATCTATCTATCTATCCACCCATCCATCCATCCATCCATCTACAGTACTGTGCAACAGTCAGAGACCACCCTTCATTTATTTCATTTCCAGTCAAAGCACCCATTGGTGATTAATTACAGTGACAGAAAAAAAGCATAAAACATAGAAAATTACACAGAAGCCTCAACATTTAAATATAATATAAAAATACTCCGTATTTAGTTTGTCCACTTTGCTGGTATTGCAGCTTACATTCTTTTCAGGATACTTGCTTTCAGTTTTTTAAAGAAATCTGCAGGGATATTTTTCCACACCTCCAGAGTTGTCTTAGAAGCTGGTTGTATTTTCTGCTTCTCACAACTGAAGTAATCCCAAAAAATGGTGCAGCAGTTACATTCAGGCACCTCAGCCTCACCATTGTTATCACAGCTCTTTGCCCTTGCCTGATCTATGAACTTATTTTTCAAACTCTGTTCTTCAGATTTTCTCCTCTTTGGCCGTTTCTCGGCCAACTCTCCTTGAACCAACAAGTTCGGGACATAGCCCCTCTACTTCCCCCTGTCCTGTGCATGAGCAAGCATCCTCCCTGTTGCTGATTGGCTGGAATAGTGTTGTCTTTCTTGTCCTGAACCACTTTGTTGTTTTTTTTTTTTCATTTACAGAGCCAGGGCTGTGTACAAACTGGACTTTTTCCAGCATGCACACATAACCTAAAGCTAGTGGACCTGAATTTGACAAAAAGTGTATGGATTGAAATCGTATACTGTGCCTTTAAGTGCTGTTTATCTGATTGTGACGGTTTTGGTGGTCTACCAGGTCTTGCACAGCTGTTAGGAGTCCCATTATCTTTTAATCATTCTTAAACTCCGGTTTCTGAAAGTTTGTTTTTGTTTGTTTTTTATTTAGTTATTTATTTTCCTTTGACTTTCTCTTTCCTTATGCAAGTGGATCTTATCTCTAACCTCAGAACCATCTATCTATCTATCTATCTATCTATCTATCTATCTTTTAAAGAAAATCTGATATTCATGCTACTATACAAGAATTCAAAAAAGTTCTCATATTTCAGAACAATTTTTTTTCTGTGACATTCCAGTGAGCGCTTAAGCCTTTAACAGAGGCCAAATGAAGACATGCGTTGCCAAGGGCTGTGAAGGCGAGTCAGCATGAATGCTGGACTAGCCGTTTCCCCGTCAACATAGCCTTACAAGTGGAATTAACAACCACATATTATTCCCTGAAATCTTGTTAAAGCCTCTTTCTTAAAACGACTGTTTAAACTGTACTACTGTACTACTTAAGTCATTTTCCTGAAAGCGTTTTAAACTTATCTCTCACTAACTCTTTGGCCTGTATGGAAAACAAAAACGGTCACAAAAGTAGGACAGAGAAATGTGCATATTCCTAACACAGCTAGTACGGGGACACCAGGGTTGGGCTCTGCTCTTAACTGACCCAAGAAAATGAGCAGTTCTGTTCCTAGAATGTGGTTTGAAGCCTTTGGGCATCAAACTGGAAATACAGGACACAGATTTCAGTTCCATGAACCTCCATTAAAAAGTGTCTGTATGTTGCTAATCATAGCAAGAACCATCAAGCTACACACTTAAAAAAGAGGGTTCTTTAGTAAAGGCAATGGTTCTATTTGGAATCATGAGTTCTATACAGACGAATTTCAAGCTTAAATGGTTCTTTGCATGGTGAAATTCTTCTCCAGATTGATGGAAAATGTGTTGTATATGGTTCTATATAGGACCTTTTGAAAATGGTTCTATATAACACCAAAAAAGGCATTTCTACTGTTGTAAGCCACAATAGTAGAACACATTTGGTTCTATGTAGAACCATACACAGCACATTCTCCATCAATCTCAAGAACAATTTCACCATGCAAAGAAACATTAAGCATTAAATTGTTCTATATAAATAGAACCATTGCCTTTACTATAGAGCCCTCAAAGAGCAATCTTTTGTGTAGGCAAAATGCCATCAAATAATAAAATGTTGATTCCCACACTCCAGTATTTTAAAACTTTGGGGTTATTAAAAATATAATTATATGGAAACTCATTCATTGCTAAATAACATAACTCATGTGGTCTTGCATGTTCTATATGCAAAACAAGAAACTCTTTTGTTTTACCATGTGGCCATTCACTAATGACGACCAGTCCTAACCTAGGACGCCTCCTTCTTAATGTTCACCTGCTCCTGACCTCTTTGAAAGCTGGATCAGGTTTGTTAGATTAGGGAACTAAACTCTGCACGAGCAGACTGACATTTTTTCACATACCGAGCTCTCTGCATAGGACCCCCTGGTGCTTTGCAAAGTGGAACACTTCATATCCATCACAGGCTACAAACTTAATCACAGGCTGCAGTGAGATGAAAAGTGAACCAGTGAAGCAGCCAATCAGCAGCGTTCACTCCAGGGCAGCGATACACGAATGTAGCACTCCAGCTAAACCTGCCAGTGACCGAACTCGCCTGGATTACCGTGGATGTTCCCGTGTAGTACCGGCGAGAGTCAGCAGCCTGCCTGTCCCGCAGTCTGACAGCAGCCATATTCCGTGTATTGAATTATCACACCACACCGTATTCATCCCATAACAGGCGGCTGGTAGCCAAAGCAGCTCTTACCTTCTTGACGGACTTGTGAGCGGGAACCGCAGTGAATGCGGCGGACAGTTCGCCCACGTTCATGTTCACGTCGCTGTTCTTGGACACGGTCATCGCCGAGTACTTCTCAGCCACATTCTCGCTCTCCTTGAATTCTTTACTCGCCTGTTTCACCTCCAACTTCGCGTCAACGGTAGATTCTGTCATGGTGAGCTGATGATTCTCGCCAAAATGAGTCGACTGCTTCGACTAGGACAGCTCGGTTCGCTACTGTAACCTTTCGTCTTGTCCTCTAGCTCCGTGCTGTACCACTTCCAGAGGAAACGAGCGAGCGAGGACTCAAATTACACGACACGACGCTACAGAAAGACACGGGCGAGGCTTGAATATCAGCAATAACGCGATGTCGGCGCGCGCTGCTGAGTGTTTTTACTTGTAAAGCGGAGCTGATCACAAATTATTACATTTGGCTGTCCGGCTCCAGGCAGGCAGCATCAGCGGTGGGTGGAGCTTACACACAAGCACCTGCAAGCAGACAGCGCGCGAGCGGGGGGGGCGGGGTGAGATGAGTCACGTGACATCAAGCCGGTGCATATTAAACAGCAAAGCGAGCTTCTCGTAGTGACGAGAAGTTCGATTCAGTTTGCCGGACTGATTCTTACGAAGCTCGTGCTTAAATGAATCGAACGTCTGATTCAGCGATTCACTGATTCCCGAGTCAATTTTATTCTCATCTCCTGCATTCAGCGAGTGAGTACACCACTAAGCCTACTTCTACTGACTAATGGAGTCCACACCACGTGACCTAAGTACGTGGACACCCAAACATCATATCCACATAGGTTTGTTGACCATCCAGTTAGAAAACCATGTGCATTAATATGGACCCACTGAGTCCCCTTGCTTCTATAATCACATTTCTGGGAAGGCTTGCCAGTAGGTTTAGGAACATTGCTTTAATGTTGCAGTTGACTGGGGCAGCTCTAGCAGAGTAGAAATTTCACAAACTGACTTGTTGGAGAAGTGACATGGTATGATGAGTCACTGAGCACCTCAGAACATCCCATTCTACTTCCTGTTTTTTTTTATGGAGAAAAAGAGAAAATTAAAGCAAATTCAAAAAGGTTACTTAAGTGGTATATTTATGCACTTTTTGTGATTTTATCCAAATGGTTCAAGGATGTAAACATCACAGATACTGGAAAAAGCTAATCCAATTGGAACCAAGACGTTCGGCTGCATCAGTTTATGGAAAAGAACCAGTTCAAAGAACGCTGTTTACAAGTCGAACGTTGCTAATATCTCAGCCATTACTTGTAGGAGAAATGTTAAATTTTAACAGTTTATCATAATGACAGCTTATGTAAAAAATATCATTATTCCTGTAGATCTTTTTAAGTTTAACCAAAGCGAGAGGTAAGTTTACGTTCACAAACTACACTTGGTCACAAGAAAAGCAAGAATGCAGTGGATGTACAATGACTAGAAACTAATATGAATAAATTGGGCACTGAAATCTTTGATTTCATTCCATGAAACTAAGAGGATTAAAGGACAGAACTCAACTTGATCACATTAAGATCATTTACAGCCTCCAACAGTACAAGTGCTTGCACAGATTAGACAGGAAAAAAAAATTCACGCTCACACGAAATGTGGAAGTTTGCCATTGACCGGACACAATTTAATCAAAATACATCATGTTCAAAGACTGCAACGTCTAACATAATTCATCAAAAAAAAGTATCTACATTTGCCTGCCATGAGGATAGGCAGAATAAGGGAAGAGGAAGTAATGGCTATTTCAAATGAAACAGGAAGACATGTAGTGCGGAAAGACCATCAACAACGGGCACAATGGTAAGAATTGCAAAAAGACTTTCCTCTAATTACAAATCCTAGTAAGATTATCAAAATTTGAATGTAAAAAGTATTCGTGTTACAAACAATAATGTAACAAGGCTGAGCCCCAGAGGCACAAATCCCCTGGTGGACAGGATACATTGCAAAATTCTTTGCTTTGGCCCACCCCTCATCCCCCGTTGTCCCAATGAAAAAGAGAAGAACTACACAGAGCACTGACACTATCTTGAGCAAAAGATACAAGATAAATGCAAGTTTGCACTAACTAGGTCACATGACTCACTATCCTGACTTTTTTTTAAACCAAAGCTTTTTTTTATATGCAAAAGCGCCACATGACAAAAATCAGAAGAAATTATAAAACTGAGTTACTTTAAAATCTTTATACACTAACTACCTAGCCAGCCTTCAATGTACATTTGTTCTATGGTCTGTTCTGAGGAACAGATCACAGTATCCAAGGCCATTTGTTAGCCTTATACCTTCCGAGCACAACGATCCAAATTCACTAACCTCTACAGGTAATGTAAATGTTTCTCCTTTATGCTTGTCACTATTGGTAATGGCTGAAACTGGAAAAAAAAGCCAGACCCTTGCTTACAGTGGAAAAGGAGAGAGGGGCGAGACACAGTATTGCCTTTTGGGCTAGAGTTGTGTTAAGGGCTGAGTTTACGATATGCACTGTCTTATTTTTGGGGTGCTGGTTGTATAGGGCTTCCGAGTCGAGGGGGTTCTCGAACCTGCTGCTACGATACGCGTATCATCTGGGACACTGTCTCCTCTCCTGCCTGATTCTGCTCTTGCTGCTCCTACAGAGAAGGAGGGAGGAGGGATGAGTAAGTGGGTGGATCAATGATTACACACATAACCCAACACAAATACTCAGCATTTAAAGGAGTCATGACTCTCTTTACTAGTTAACACAGACCAAGATATGTGGAGACACTAATCTGTGCAGGGGTCAGAGAGAGAAAGCACACCCTAAGCAAGAAACAAAAATAATTATGTTAATTATTTAACTATATTAACATCACGATTTAGCCTACATTTGCGTATTAGTCACTTTTTAGAAACCTTTTCAGGGAAATGACTGCACTGCTATGCATGAATCACTGAACATACCTGTAGTTGGGCTGATAAAGATGGTGTTTTTTAAGTTTATCAAGATAAAATGCATGAATATGCAAGATGACAAAGACATGCAGATGAAATGCAGCAAAGATACATTCCCAGATGTCTCAGCTTATTCTGAAGTGTTTTTGCACATAAACTCTTAGGAGGGGTTGTTGAACATTTGACTAGTCTGCATCATTTATTCATGAAAGATAAAAATCACAACATATGACAACCATGCATCAGTGTCAGAATTGCAAAAGCAAGTAAACAAAGGCAGAGAACAAATACAAAACAAAAGTGCAACACAGAAGCATGCAGCATGTGTAGGGTAAATCATATAAAGACTGGGGGCAAGACTGCAAGCAACATTCTCTGTGCTGCCAAATTCTCTCTACATTAAACTTGACTGTTTGCTTAAAAATGTAACATGATTCCTACAGCTTGAATGCAAAACATCTTAATGCTTAGTAAGCTTTCACCCCCCCCCCATACATATTCTCAAGACAGTGAAACGGAACAGTACATTTTTGTTCAAAAGCAATATGGACTTCTTACTCACAGGAGTTCTGTTTTTTTTTAAATAAACAAACATACATTATTATGTAACTGTACATGGTATATAAAAGCACATAGCTCTTCTGATATTTGGATAGAGCTAACCACATAGCCTTGGCTACAGCGGCGCTCACTAGAATCCTGTGGCAGAGGAGCAACAATGTGTGTTGTGGTATGTAAGAAAAGCATTGCAGCCTTTAGCTCATCATCTTTGGTTCGCAGTCAAACTGTCCAAGTGTTAAAATGCTGACAAAGCACAAACTCACAGCATGTTAGAAAAAACAACATAAATCACCCGTGAAAAGGGCTTAGAAAAAGCAATGATTCAGCTAAGCAAGAGGGCAGGTGATGGGCACAGCGTTGCCAATGAGAGCTCAAGCAAGGGAAGATGTAGCCAATGAGAGCAGAAAACTGCAGCTAAGCGAGAGGCGTGGCGGGCTCAGGTAGCCAATGGAAGCAGTGAGCTAAGCAAGGGGTGGGGTGTGCTCAGGCAGCCAGTGAGAGCCAATGATTGTGGCGGCCCTTTGTAAGTCCTCCTGTTTGACTCCACCCTGCACCAGGAGCCTCACCTGCCCAGGCAGACCATCCTCTTTATCCTTTGGCGAAAAGAAGCGGCCACCGTCACCCCGCTTCCTCTGCATGGCGTGTCTGTGCCGTGACTCATGCAGGTATTTCTGAGAAAACAAAAGTGCAGTCAGGACATAGAAAGGAGAAAAAAATCTGATCAGAAACACAAACCTGAATTATGAATGCATGGGGTGCTTCCATTTTTGATTTAGAACATTACACTGTTTTGGTCCAAACGCGTAACGTATTACAAGGAAAATAAGTTAGAAAATTAGACACTGAAAAATGTTTGTTGTCGTATCGAGTAAGGAAAATAGGTGGTTAGGACAATTTTCTGGCAGTCCAAAATGTCCTTGTCCCACTTTGAGCAGCCCTGGCATAGATAAATTAGGCTTATGCCTTTGAGAACTCTACTTTTTACACTCTCTGCCCTGAGAAGTGTCATGGTTAAAACATAGCACCCTCTAACATATGGAACTGGTTATTATACCAGTCTGCCACACTGGTGCACCTGCCAGCCGTCCCTTACCCGCCTCTCTTTGGGGATCTTGCCCTCAGCCTCGAGCTTGGCACGGGCTTGCCGTCTCTTAAGGATGCGGTGGTACTGTTTGGCATTGACGTAGAGCGGCTCTTCCTCCAGCATCTCAGCCCCTGGCAGAGGGATGCGCTGGATGGTGGGTACTGTGCCTCCTCCAGGGACCATCTGAAACACGAGCACAAATGCACCAGAACCACATTAATTCAATCCACTACCAGCTAATATGATTTACATGGAATTTTGGCAAGGTCACTGGGAGAAAGGACACCCACGGAGCAGCTGTGTGCATAATTTGTAATGAGAGGCCTGGCATACTTTGCTGTCATTTAAATTTTATACCATTAGCTCAGTAGCATGATGGCTGTGGTGGCAGTGATGGCTGTCCATTTTCCACACTAATACCAAGCAAATTCCTCAGACTCATCACAGATTTCCCAAAACCAGGAACTACTTATTTAGGCCTCAAAACTACATAAATTAAGGAATTAAACACTAACCTTAATTCCAGTGGCATTAGTTCAGATTATTACAGAAGAGTGCATTTTTGGGTCTCACGTACAACACAATTCAAAGAGGAGGTCAGTACAGTACAGCACACCACCCCCACCTGCAGTTCTGATAAAGAGGTGTACTCAAGCTTATGTAACTCATTCTGAGCTCTTACCATGACCATCCCTCCAGCATTGACCACGTTGCCGGACACTGGCAGGGTGACTGTGACTGTGCCTTGGCCGCTGTTGGTAGTAGAGGTGTTGGCGCCCCCTGCTGCCTGTACAATCTGGGTGCCAGTCAGAGTGCCTGCTGGGATGGTTATCATGCCTATGAAGGGAAATTTCAGCTTTAATAAACACTGGGAATCACCTATTTAACATT